TGATGAGACAGAGAATGTGGGTTATTTAAAACCACACTGCTGCAAATGCTCATTCCATCACAATCATTCTGGTAAAAAAAGGAACAATGGGTTAAGAAGGTTTAGAATACTTTTCTGATTCTACTGAAATATCTAATTTTTATTTTTCTTTATTTTTTGCCATATAGACATCTGTACTTCCACAAAAGATGCCATGAATTCCAAGATAATATGCTCACACATATATTCCCCTAGAAGGGCCCTGGTGTGTTTGCAATCAAGGTGCAGCCTTTCTGGCCTTCCTTGTGCTGCTGTGTTTGTGCAAAACAGGAAGGCAGGAAGTAAAGCAGAGTCAATCAAAACATGTCCAGTTTCTACAGCCACAGAACCTGAAATCTAGTGTTCTGTCATCTAGAAATCATGACAGTATTTCAAAGTTGAGAAAACTAAATTGATAAATACTTTATATTTTTAGTTTTTGTATAGTTTATTTAAAAAATTATAGTTTCTGATTTATAAATTTGAACATGCACATATCTAAAAGTTTCATTTAAATGAAACTTTTCATCTGAAACATTCACCCATATGCATAAAAGAGACATAATTCTGTGTCTTTCACCCCTAATTTTGACTATTAACCCAAAACTGGAGAAATGCAATATGTCATTATACACCACAGAACATTTCATTATTTTTACTTTAGATTCAAGGGGTACATATGCAGATTTGTAACACAGGTATATTGCATGATGTTGATGTTTGGTTGACACTGAATAATTTCATTGCTCAAGTAGTGTACATCATACCTGATAAGTGGTTTTTCAATGTTTGTCTTCCTTCCTTCCTTTTTCTTAGAATTCCCAGTGTTTATTTTTCCATCTTTGCTTCCATGTGCACCCCATGTTTAGCTCCCACTTATAAGTGAGAACATGTGGTATTTTTCTGTTCTGTGTTAACTTGCTTAGAATAATGATCTGCTGCTGCATCCATGTTGCTGAAAGGACATTACTTCATTTTTTTTTCTGTGACTGTATAGTATTGCATGGTGTATAAGTATCTCATTTTTCTTATCCAGTCTAAGATTCATGGGTTCCTAGTTTAATTCTATGTCTTTGCTATTTATAAATAGTGCTACAATAAACATGTGAGTGCAGGTGTCTTTTTTGATAAAATAATTTATTTTTCTTTGGGTAAATACCCAGTAATGGGGTTGATAGGACAAATGGCAGTTGTATTTTTAGTTCTTTGAGAAATCTCCAAACTGCTTTCCACTAAGGCTGAACTAATTTGCATTTCTAAAAGTGTATAAAAATTCCTTCTTTCACTACTTCAACATTTTTTTTTTAATTTTAATAACAGCCATTCTAACTGGTGTGGGATGGTATCACGTTGTCATTTTGATTTACACCTCTCTGATTATTAAGAAAGTTGAGCAACCTTTTTTTTTTTTTTTTTTTTGAGACAGAGTCTCACTCTGTCACCCAGGTTTGAGTGAAATGGTAGAATCTCAGCTCACTGCAGCCTCTGCTTCCTGGGTTCAAGTGATTCTTGTGCCTCAGCGTCCTGAGTAGCTGGGACCACAGGCATGGACCAACACACCTGGCTAAGTTTTGTATTTTAAGTACAGACGGGGCTTCACTATGTTGGCCAGGCTGGTCTTGAACTCCTTGCCTCACGTGATCCTTCTGCCTCAGCCTCCTGAGTAGCTGGGACTACAGGCATGCACAAACACACCTGGTAAGTTTCATATTTTCAGTACAGATGGGGTTTCACTATGTTGGCCAGGCTGGTCTTAAACTCCTGGCCTCATGTGATCCTTCTGCCTCAGCCTCCCAAAGTGCTGAGATTATAGGCATGAACCCCCACTCCGGCCAATTTGGTTTTTTTTGGCAGTTTTTATGTCTTCCTTTGAGAAGTGCCTATTTATATATCATTTGTCTGCTTTTAAAAATTAAATTTCGTATAGATCATATATATTAATCCCTTGTTGTATTCAGTTTGCAAATCTCTTATTTCATACTGTAGATTGTCTATTTGTCGATAGTTTATTTTGCTGTGCAGAAGCTCTTTAATTAGGTGTCAACTTCCATTTTTTTTTTTTTTTTGTTTTTTTTTTTGCACTCATGTTTAAGGTGTTAGTCATAAATTCTTTCTAGAGGCCAAAGTCTAGTGAAGTACTTTCTAAGTGTTCTAGGATTTTTATAGTTTAGTCTCACTGTCAAGTCTTTAATCTATCTTGAGTTTTATTTTTTATATGGTGAGAGGTAGGGGTCCAGTTTTCCCCTGTACCATTTATTGGATAGGGGGTTATTTCCCTTGGTTTATTTCGTTGACTTTGTCAAAAATAAGTTGATTGTAGAAGTGTAGCTTTTTTTCTGGGCTCTCTCCTCTGTTTCATTAGCCTATATATATATTTTTTGTACCAGAACTATGCTGTACTGGTTACTGTAGCTTGTAGTACAATTTGAAGTCGGGTAATATGAGACCTCCAGGTTTATTGTTTTTGTTTAAACTTGCTGTGGCTATTTGGGCTCTTTTATCCTTCCATATGAATTTTAAAATAGTTACTTCTTCTAAATCTATAAAAAATGGCATTGAAGGCTGAGTACAGTGGCTCATGCATGTAATCCCAGTGCTTTTAGAGGCTGAGGTGGGCAGATCACTTAAGATCGGGAGTTCAAGACCAGGCCCTAGCCAACATGGTGAAACCCCATCTGTACTAAAAACACAAAAAATTAGCCCGGTGTAATGATGTGTGCCTGTAGACCCAACTACTCCAGCAGCTGAAACAGAAGAATTGCTTGAACCTGGAAGGCAGAGGTTGCAGTAAGCCAAGACAGAGTGTACTTATGGGTTATCATTAAGCATCTGTTATACAGCAAGGGCTGTCATGTTTGTTTGCTGCATTTATATATAAAAACATCCTGGTCGGGCGCAGTGGCTCACGCCTGTAATCCCAGCACTTTGGGAGGCCAAGGGGGGCAGATCACGAGGTCAGGTGTTTGAGACCAGCCTGGCCAACATAGTGAAACTTCGTCTCTACTAAAAATACAAAAAATTAGCTGGGCTTGGTGGTGGGTGCCTGTAATCCCAGCTACTTGGGAGGCTGAGGCAGGAGAATCGCTTGAACCTGGGATGCAGAGGTTGCAGTGAACCAAGATCGCACCACTGCACTCCCGCCTAGGAAACAGTGTGAGACTGTCTCAAAAAAAAAAAAAAAAAAAATCCTGACTTATGAAGCCTCCCTAGTACATACCCTAACAAATTGGCTCAATACATAAATTTACTTGTCAATTAAAAAATCTGAAAGCAGTTGGGCGCGGTGGCTCATGTTTGTAATCCCAGCATTTCGGGAGGCCAAGGCAGGAGGATCACGAGGTCAGTTCAAGACGACCCTGGCCAACAAGGCAAAACCCTGTCTCTACTAAAAATACAAAAATTAGCAGGGTGTGGTGGTGGGCACCTGTAATCCCAGTTACTCAGGAGGCTGAGGTAGAACTGCTTGAACCCGGGAGGTGGAAGTTGCGTGAGCCAAAATCGTGCCATTGCACTCCAGCCTGGGCAACAAGACCAAGCCTACGTCTCAAACAGAACAAAATCTGGAAGCAGCAATAACTAAAAGTAGGCTTACCGCTGGGTGCAGTGGCTCACGCCTGTAATCTCAGCACTTTGGGAGACCAAGGCAGGTGAATCACCTGAGGTCGGGAGTTTGAGGCCAACCTGACCAACATGGAGAAACCCTCTCTCTACTAAAACAAAATTAGCCAGGCATGGTGGCACGTGCCTGTAATCCCAGCTACTCTGGAGGCCGAGGCAGGAGAATCATTGGAACCCAGGAGGCGGAGGCTGCAGTGAGCCAAGATCGTGCCACTGCGCTCCATCCTGGGCAACAAGAACAAAATTCCATCTCAAAAAAAAAAAAAAAGGGAGACTTATATAGGGTTCTCCAAGTAAAATAACAAAATGGAATGTTCTAACTAAATAAAATACACTAATTGTGGAATTACATCCAAAAGTTATTTTTGTGTGCAATTTTATAAAAATAATTTATAATCCCTGATGAGCTCACATAATGAATACTTCAAAAACTATAAAACACATTATAAGAAACAGAAAAATTATGGGTCTAGCATGAGTACCAGGCAAGTAAAACAGAGAAATTGTCTGGGGAGGTTATGAACCATAAGCCATAAGATCTTATAGTCATGAATTCAATACAAAGCAACATATAGATTTGCCTTACACATATTTGAGGTTTTTAGTTTTCTAGTAGTCACCTTATTAAAATAATGTTTTCTCAGTTTCTTCTGAAAATAGAAATTCATACTTACAAAAACATACTTCATAATTTTCTTATACCTAAGCTTTATTTTTTCAGTAATATATCTTTATGTAAATCAAAACTAAACGTCTGTGTGCGTTTGCAGGCACAGAGGCCACATGTTCAAAGTAAAATACAAAACAAATTTTTAAAAATAAAATTTAGGTCTCAGAAATATGGATTTTATTTTTACTTCTGTATAATTATTATTATGACCATAAAAATGACCCTGTAGTCAATAACAATTGTACATTTTAAAATAAATAAAAGTGTTAGATAGAACTGGATTGTCTGTAATACAAAGAATAAAATGCTAGAGGTGAATACCTCATTTACTCTGATGTCATTATTACATATTGTATGTCTGTATCAAAATATGGCATATATGGCATAAATACATACACTATGTACCCAAAAATATTAAGAAAAATAAATTTAAATTTTAAAAAGATAAAAATTTAACCTATGGGAACACTATTCTTTAATGTATTTGCAGTTTAAGCCACTGGAAAAGATTACTAGAGATGTAAGTCCACTATGTTACCAAATAATATACTGTTACCATCTTTTACCCCACACCCTTGAGTAAGGTGGGATAGGTTAAAGTCAGTGGCAAAATAACACTTCATCAAATACACAAGTCTTAGTATGTTAAAAAAAAATGTTTAATTACAAAATTAAGTTCACACACAATTAATTTTTTTAAAGTACTGCATTTTATTACATAAAAGCACAATCAACAAAATGATACACTAATTTTAACTGAAAATGTTTTCTCACTATACTGCAAAAGAATATTAGTCTAAACATGTACCTCAAGCAGCACTTAATATTCTAAGTTAACCACAAAGAGCATCTCTACATTTTCCTCATGCATCTTATATTTTAATTTTCTTACTCTTCCATAGAAAGGGGCATAAATAATGCCCACCTTTAAAAAAGAATCTCTCATAGCTCTGATTCAGCAACAACTGATCACTTGATTTCACATGTGAATACAATAGGAATGAAGAAAAACATGAATTTGAGAGTTAATTTACATTATTAATTGCTTTTCAAAAAATCTGTAATTTTTTTCAAGAAAAAAGTATACTTTGAATGTAATTATAAATCTCCAAAAAATCTTCCACTTCTTTTAAAGTTATATATAAATAACTTATCTAACAATTCTAGTTTTGAATTTCCTATACTCAACACTCTAATTTAGTGTAACGTCTGAAGTGTCAGTGCCTCATGCCTTATGATTTCCACTGTGAATTCTCTGATATTTACATAGACTTAATTTTGGATTAAATATTTTTCATATTTACTGCATCTGCAAAAATATATTTTAGAATGAACTGTTTTCCAAGCTGTAGTTTTTGAAAAAAATGTTTTTCCATATTTATTACATTTGCAGGGTTTTTCTCCAATATAAACTCCCCGATGTTGAACAGTTTGAGCAACTAATGCTTTAGGGTTTTCCTCTGGTACAAAATGTGTACAATAAGATCTATCACAAAAGTAAAGGTACTACAACCCTCTATTTGCAATGTTTGTCTTAAGAATACTCTTCCTTATGTTAAAGGCTTATATTTTCTGAAAGATCTTTTGACAGTAACCGCATTTTATTAAGTATGAACTCTCTGATGTTCAGATGTGAGAAGATATAAATGGCTTTTCCATATTCTTTATATAATTTTTCTCAAGTATAAATGCTTTCCTGTGCAATAAGGTGTGAGGATTGGTTAAAAGTCTGCCACATTCTTCATACTTGTAGGATTTTTCTCCATTATAAATTATCTTACCTACAATCAAGTGTGACAACCATTTAAAGGCTTTGTCACATTCCTCACATTTCTAGGGCACCAGTATGGTTTATGTTTAGAAAAGTTTGAGATGTAGTCAAAATCACTCTCACATCTTTCAGGTTTGTAGTTTCTCTTTAGTATAATTTGAGGATTTGTTAAAGGCTCTGCCACATTCATGTTTGTAGGGTTTTTCTCCAGTATAAATTATCTGATGTGTAATAAGGGTTGAGAAGTTGTTAAAGGCTTTGTCACATTCTCCATATTTGTAGGGTTTCTCTCCAGTATAAACTATTTTATGTGCAGTAAGGTTTGAGGACTGGTTAAAAGCATTGCCACATTTTTCACATTTGTAGGATTTCCCTTCAGTATGATTTATCTTATGTTTAGTAAAAATTGAGGACTGGTTAAAGGCTTTGCCACATTCTTCACATTTGTAGGGTTTTTCTCTAGTATGAATTATTTTATGTTTAGTAAGGGTTGAGAATACACTAAAGGCTTTGCCACATTCTTCACATTTGTATGGTTTATCTTCCATATGATTTCTCTTATGTTTAGTAAAAGCTGAGGACCAGCTAAAGGCCTTGCCACATTCTTCACATTTGTAGGGTTTCTCTCCAGTATGAATTATCTTATGTTCAGTAAGGGTTGAGGACTGTTTAAAAGCTTTGCCACATTCTTCACATTTGTAGGGTTTTTCTCCAGTATGAATTCTTTTATGTTTAGTAAGGGTTGAGGACTGGTTAAAGGCTTTGCCACATTCATCACATTTGTAGGGTTTCTCTCCAGTATGAATTATCTTATGTTTAGTAAGGTTTGAGAACTGGTTAAAGGCTTTGCCACATTCTTCACATTTGAACGGTTTTTCTCCAGTATGAATTATCTTATGTTTTTTAAGAATTGAGAATACTCTAAAGGCTTTGCCACATTCTTCACATTTGTAGGGTTTATCTTC